TAGGCCAAAACTAGTCATCAAATAAACAAAAATGAATGACTCACATATAAAGTATGTCTAATCTGTTTATTTGACAACTAGTCTAGTTTTGGGGTATTCTTTAGATGTCTATTAGATTTTCACTGATAGTCCAAGTTTAGCCTTGTTTTAGCCAAGTTGTCTACCTTTAGATGTCTATTAGACGTCTACTGAAGCACAAAATTGTTTGCTGAGATCAGACTACTTTAGGTTTTTACAAGAATTTGTATGACCAGGATAGAAAAAACAAATTAAAACAATTCTTCTGATCTCCGACAACACCGCTGAGTCTGACTCCAAACAAAGAAGCAGTCGCATTTGTTACATTTTGTGGTGCCTGGCACTTTCCATTAAGCACTCAACATAGTTAAATGCACTTACAGTATGCTAAAAATGTAACATTCAAAACGTATTGCTTTTTTTTCACGTCACCTAAGTTGATGATAAATGCAGAAAATGTTGATTGCTTTATCCAATCCACTTTAAACTGACCTGGAGAGTCTTAACAACACAGATTTGAAATGCATTTTTAAAGTGAAATATGAAAACTCTATGAGTTATGAATTATTCACCCTCATGTTGTTCCTGTCCCCTGAGACCTTTGTTCATCTTCAAAACACAAATTAGGCTATTTTAGATGAAATCAGAGAGCTCTCTTATCATCAGATGGCAAGGTTTCTGAGACATTTAACATCCAGAAAAGGAACCAAAGACATTCCATGAGACTTCAGTGGTTTAACTGTAATTATATGAAGCTACAACTGTAAAACTAATTTGTTTGCCAGCATCAGAGTGTGCGTTTACAATAGGCAAATCAATTTACTGCCATTAGAGTCGGCAGTGCAACAATCACGCATAGTTTTGCCCACAATAAACATGTACTGGGATCTGACGTGGCTAATAAAAGGCACCTTTTTACTCTTTTTTTTTTTTTTTTTTTTTTTTTTGGTGCACAAAGGTGTTCATGGAGCTTCGTATAATTACAGTTGAACCACTTAAGACATTAAGTGGTTATTTGATGTTTATTTCATTTTTTCTGGACTTTGAATATCTTGAGATCATTTCTGTCTATGGAGGTTGAGAGAGCTCTCAGATTCCATCTATAATATCTTTATTTGTGTTCTGAATATGGACGAGTGTCTCTGGGTAATAAAACAACAGGAGAGTAGTAATTAATAACAGAATTCTAATTTTTGGGGTGAACTAACCCTTTAAAAGACTACTACATTCACCAAAACACTGTATAAATCAGCATGCAGAGAGTGATGTGAGTATTGAACTTGACGAATGAGGACCAATCCAAAAGAGTTCTGCCCACACAGATTCTGCACACACTTGCTCGTGGCTGATATCCAATTGGCGACCATGAGAGACTTCTTTTTTTTTTTCTCCATCTTTGCAGCAAATTCAGCCTTGTAACTATGGACTGGTTTGGCAGTCCACTGCCGAGATTTCCTACTTTCCTGTATTTTATCCCTCTCAACATTGGCAAATGTTGGCACATGAAGGGAGGGAGTGTCATGACACCAATTTAACAAACATTTGAAGATAAGAAAAGGACCTTTGACTTCCTTCATGCAGCTGCTCGGTATAATTAAAAGCCATTCGCAGAGCTCATGGCATAGCTGTCAGGGAGAGCACTGGGAATGGTACTGCTTGTCAACTAATTGTCTATATGTCTGCCAAATAACACACATTTATCTGCAAGATATTGCAGGTGAACAGGGTAAATAATAGCTGATATTTATCACCATACTTTCCCAATTGAATGAATATATTTAGAATTGCAAACATGTCTTGTATTAAAAGTTTTCTAAACCTGCAGCTACTGTTAAATGAAAAAAATAAATATTATTTAATGAAATTCTTTTCTACAGCAATCTGAACATTTGATTAGGTTTAAAATTCTTGATTATTATTATTATTGTTAATATTATTGTTATTATTATTTATTCATTCATTCATTCATTTATTCATTTTCTTTCGGCTTAGTCCCTTCTTTATCAGGGCAACCGGAAGAAACCCACACCAACACTGGGAGAACATGCAAACTTCACACAGAAATGCCAACTAACATAGCTGGGGCTCAAACCAGCAACCTTCTTGCTGTAAGGCAAAAGTGCTAGCCACGGAGCCACCATGCTGCCTATTATCACTATTATTATTATTATTGTAATGACACACTTTTTGTGCACATCCCACCTTTTGCAGCTAGCACGAGTAAGACCGAATCTTTTTCTTTTTTAGAAATGCCTGAATGAAAATACAAAGGTACAACAGACTCGATATAGCTCAGTTAAAAAAACTGTGTTGCTTACATAGTCCATAACTGCAATCTGACCTAAACTTACAAACTAATGACATTATAAAGTATTACTGTATTGTATTGTATTGACTTACTGTATTAATGTAATACGGAAGCCAAAAAACCCCAAAAGACAAGCTTTTAAATTGTATTAGTGATAAATTATGCATTTTAAATAATACAATCATTAGGAATTCTTATTATATTTCAGTATCACCTTTCACCATGTTTTAACCTTTTAAACTAAATTATCATCACAAATTACTTATGCATAACTGGCTCCTACATTTCTATTATTATTATTATTATTATTTGTAATTTTAGGAATTCAGAAATTACTGTCAAAAAGGCAGAAACAATCTAAATTTTTCTAAAACCTTCTGATCCATTGCATGAAAAAAAATATTTTAAAGTTAAAAGCCATTAAAAATATGAAGTGTAGTTGAAATCTGCAGACAGAAATTGATCAAGTGGGACCAAAAACAACATTTTGATTAAAAAGCACAAAATCTTATAATTGAGACTAAAGAATAAAAACTTGTGGCATTAAAGGAAAGTATCGTACACATGAGCAGGTGATGTGCACTTTTACTTGTTATTATTTCATATTTTGTTTGGTCATTTAAATCTTTTTAATCATCTGGCAGCATCTGCTTATTTGAACAGCCATTTTGTTGGTATCAGCATATTCTGGCTTATCTGCATTATTCATTTTTTGCCAAGTCAAATGTTCGAATGTTTGCAGCCAGTTTCATCATTTAAATGTGCAAATGCTTGTACTCTGTTTTGTTGTCAACAAGATATCTGCAGAAATTCATTAAGAGTATATGACATGATTAGCAAAATGCTTCAACATGGAAATCGGTACTTTGGCTTACAGGAGTAAACATAAATAGATATTTTTAAACCAGAAAATCTAAAACAAAAGTCATCTTTGTATTTTTTGTATAAAAACTCTATTTATATTGTTATAAATAATATTATGAATTGGTTGATATTCAAATGTTTAGTTTCTGCTAAGACACATGATCACTTTTTCTACTTATTACCATAGTACCCAACTTTGTCATTTTCACAATTTCTTTATTTACATTTTTTTAATAATACTATTTCAATTTATAACTGGGGTCGAGTTTGAAACCCCATGGTGTATAAAATAATTTATACATTATTATTTAAGGTATTTTTTAATTGTTTTGGGGTTGTTAAAAAATAGTTCACCCAAAATGAAAAATCTCAGTTAATTTATTAACCCCCAGGTCATTAAAGATTTAGGAGACTTTTTTCCTCAGTACATGATTAAAGAAACTGCCATTTTCTGTAATCCATAAAATACCAATCAGCAGCTACTGGCACTACAGAATAGTAATAAAAATCACAAAACAAAATTACTACCTGTGGCACCTGACCATACAATTTAAAGTGCTTGTAGAATTGACTTACTTTATTTGAATCACCAGTGAATAACTTGTGATGCTTCTCACTTAATAATTATCATATAGGCTCCAGTGTGAACATTTTAAAAAAATTGAATTAGCCTGACATCGGTGATAATAACCCTCACCGGACAGTTTTTTAGGTACACCTTACTAGTACCGGGTTGGACCCCACTTTTGCTCTCAGAACCACCTTAATCCTGCATGGCATAGATTCAACAAGGTACTAGAAATTATCCTCAGGGATTTTGGTTCATATTGATAGCATCCCACAGTTGCTGCAGACTTGTCGGCTGCACACCCATGATGCAAATTTCCCATTCCACCACATCCAACAGGTATTGGTATACATCCAACTCAGTTGAATTGAGATCTGGTGACTGTGGGGGCCATTTGAGTACAGTGAACTCATTGTCATGTTCAAGAAACCAGTCTGAGATGATTCACATTTTAAATATTTTATTGCTAACAATGCAAATAAATGCATTGTATAATAATGCAAATAAATCTAAATGTTTTTTTATCCAGTATATAAATAAACATACTATGCAATGTAGAATAAAAATAAATTGAGTTAAGTGCTGAGGAAATATAGCTACTATTTAAAGTAAACAGAAATTAAATTAACTATGTGAAATCTGCCTTTGTAAGCATGTGTTACAACTAACCCTCTGTATGTTAAGTTGCCCCTAGTAACATTTTTACCCCTGGCACTTTTAGCAATACTGCTCAGAAACCATAGGTCCGGCAGTCATAGAAGTTCATACAACCAATGCTCATTTGTAGGAGAGGCTTGTTTGAGTTTTTGGTAAAAAAAAAAAAAAAAGCCTTTGTCTAACCCCATTACTTTGTTCCTCATTTGGCCAAAACCAAAAAGTGTAAGGTTGTGCCCCGCTCTCCCCTACATGCCTAAATGTATCCATGTTGCAGCCATGTGATTGGCTGATAAGAAATTTGGGTTAACGAGCAGTTAGACAGGTGTACCTAATAAAGTGGCCTGTGATGCTTGCAAATATTATTTTTTATTTATATTTTTACGTATACAACAAGTATTTCTTTTAATAGAGGGAAGAGTAAAATAATATAACAGCAATAATAGCCAGTAGCAAGAATCAAGCATGAGAACATCGAATTTAAATACACGATACAGTTCAAAAGGTATAAATATAAGGCGAGCAGTATTTTGTCCACACAGAGGTAACATGAGACTAGCCCTTTAAACAGAACTTGATGATTCCATCATAGAGAGAGAGAGAGAGAGGGAGAGAGAGTGAGAGAGAAACGGCGTGCTGCTTTACTGTGCTATGAAGTGTCAGTGAACACCGCAATACAGAAAAAACGAAAACAGCTCATTCCTGACCATACGTGGGAAAAACGAGTGAAGAATCGAAGCGATTTCATTCAGATGCTGCAGTTTTGATTTGCCGTGTAGCTCAGCAGCAGCAGCAGCAGCAGATCTGTGAAGAGCCGGACTGAAACTGCGCAGCACTGCCCGTGCGAGGCGGAGCGGAGACGCATCTGAAACATTCACATCAAACTTCTCAACCCACCGACATCTTTACTAAACACAACATGGAATAGACGGACGCCGAGAGAACCCTAATAACACAAATTGATGTTTTCTGCTGAAAAACCGACAGAGGGGAAGAAACTGAAGCGTTAAATCAGCATCAAGCTCTGTGGTGGATTGAAAGAAGGAGCTCAAGATGTCTGTACCGGTAAGTTCTTTAATTTAACATCTTATCTGATTCTTTGCGATGTGCAAAAGTTTGTGAACTGCTTAATAGGAACTTAAATTCATTGTGTTGGACACAGATGTTGGAATGAGAGAATATGGGGCGTTCTTGGTGTACTGTGCTGATGAACACTGGCTGTGGTCGTTTGGAATAAAGCTGCGGTTAAAGCTTATGTGGAAACTGAATTTTTGTAGTTCATTCATGAGGACAATACACGTGTTGGGTGTAAAATCATAATAAAGCTGTCTATATAGCATTTCGAGGTCATAATTGGCGCTTTCCGATGATGCCCGAAATAACGCGCGTGCCAGTGATGTCCAAAAATGCGGTCCAGTGGCAGCTCACAAGGTTTTGACGTCCGTCCTCGAGACCGTGAGCTGAAGCACAAAAACAAACGCATGAGTAGCCTGCAGATTTTCCATAGGCCAGGATTTATACCACTTTATTAAGCTTCAGGTCATTTTTATGAAAGCGTGAACATTGTACTGTTTTTTTTTTCAAATAACTTTTTAGCTTAAAAATGTCAAGTGTGAAGGTTTTACATCTTTACAAGTGACATTTTTGCACCAAAGGCATGAGCTTCAAGCTTGTTGCTGCTTTAAAACTGTTTTATGGCAAATTATTTATCAACTTTGGCCATGTTTTCCGAAGGGTATTATTCTAAAATATCGCTTCACTTTCCTGAATACACATAGTAATAGATTAGATGCATTGTGTGTGCAAATGTAATGGATATGGACTGTTCCAGTCTCACATATAATTTAGTAGCGTATTGTATAGATGCTTCATGAAGCCTAAAGTATATTTTTGGCCATATCCATTTTACGTCTGTGACATAATATTGGTCATCAGTGCAGTCCTTGGGGCTGTCCACATGCAGCACAGCTTTTCTGTCAGCACGGATGGTTCAAATACAATGTTAATACAATGTTCAAATAGACCACTTGGTGTTACTGTGCAAGTGTAAACCTTGTCCGTCCATAGCAAACAGCCTACAAAGTTTATTATAAGTTAAAAAATACTGTACAGCTGAGTTTTCCCACCTGCGAAATATGACTATGATATGTGATGACACATTGATCGTTGGCAGAAGTGTTGATGTGTCTATAATGGTCTAATGTGGTGTCCATGTATACGTTTTAAGGTTTGGTTTTCCAACCTGCTGCACCGTTATCAATAATTGATAAATAAATATTAATAATAAAGTTATTATTTAGACTAAGGCAAGATCTGTTTTTTGCATGAACATGTTTTTTCAAAAGAGACCTGTCTCAGAACTCTCTATCGAGTTTCAACCTGTAAGGCCTGCGCTCCACCTCCATGATGCTTTTGGCATTTCATTTCGACACACTGCAACAAGATTTAACATTTGCCCTTGTTGACAGAGAGTGAGTGGAAGAAGTCAGTGGAGGATGCGCAGCTCTGCAAAACATCATTGGCGATCCTTGTGGGAGGAATGAGGTTAATTTGCATGTCTTGGCAGCTTACCTATATATTTTCCCACTGCAGTTTTATAGGAGAACTGGCGTCCTGATGATGTTATGAATAAATAATGAAATCACTTCTGGTCTTTGCATCCAAGTGTGCAAACAGTCTCAGTAGGCCACCTCAGACTTGAACTCTTTGTTTAAGGTAACATTTAATGCCAATAAGAAAGGCGTGTGTTTGTTCAGATTCATCCTTGCATGAGTACTGATGTCCCATGCCATTTTTGACAAACAGAAGCCAGATTGCTGTTTTTGCCTGGGGTGATCATGCTTGATCGCAGCAGCTGTTCTGTCGCAAAGGCGAGAGTATGGTTTGCTTGTATTGTGCCTTGTTTTCCATGCAACCGGTGTGATTCCGTTTACCTGAGACCAACAGATGTCACCAAGAAGTGAAAAACAAACAATTGAATTTCCATCAGTTGGAAACCTGCACGAGTGTCAGGATTGCAAATCACATTGGTTTATTTTTTTGAGCTCAATCATTCAATTCCAGATTTGTTTTAAATCACAATTTGGTTGATCATGTTTTAGTTAATAATCCATTTTGCTCAGATGTGAAAGAGAGGCCGTGCTATAATATGTTTGCATAAGAATGAAAGTGTGTATGGATGTTTCCCAGTATTGGGTCGCAGCTTGAAAGACATCTGCTATGTAAAACATATGCCAGAATAGTTGTCGGTTCATTTCACTGTGGTGACCCCTGATAAATAAGTGACTAAGCCGAAGGAAAACGAATTAATTAATGTTATATTATGCTTTCCTATCAACTGATCTGTGCACAGGACAAATTAATCTTAAACTTAAAACTTAAAAAAAAGTTTTGTGACATTATGCAAAGCAAGGCAAGTGTGTATACAAACACATTTAACATTTCACTTAATATTTTTACACACCCCATTATTAATGATTTCTTATCTTTCAGTAACAATGGCAATTAAATTAGTCAAATAATTAGTAATAATTAGCTTTATTAATCAAAATTTAACAATAAATATCTTTTATTGGTTTTATTTTCAATTTACTATTTTTTTTATTTATTATTTATTTAGTATACTGAATATATAATATATTTTTTAACTTTGGTTTGAGGATAAAAATTTTGTCTCAGGTTTATACACTCACCGGCCACTTTATTAGGTACACTTTACTAGTACCGGGTTGGACCCTCTTTTGCCTTCAGAACTGCCTTAATCCTTCGTAGATTCAACAAGGTACTGGACATATTTTTCAGAGATTTTGGTCCATATTGACATGATAGCACTCAGTTGCTGCAGATTTGTCTGCTGCACGTCCATAATGCGAATCTCCCGTTCCGACACATCCCGAAGGTGCTCTATTGGATTGAGTCTGGTGATTTTGGATGCCATTTGAGTACAGTGAACTCATTGTCATGTTCAAGGAACCAGACAACGTTTTTCCAATCTTCTGTTGTCCAATTTTGGTGAGCCCGTGCAAATTTTAGCCTCAGTTTCCTGTTCTTAGCTGACAGGAGTGGCACCCCGACTCAAAGTTCGATGTGTTGTGCATTCAGAGAAGCTCTTCTGCATACCTCAATTGTAACGATTAGTTATTTGAGTTACTGTTGTCTTTCTAACAGCTTAAGCCAGTCTGGCCATTCTCCTCTGACCTCTGGCATCAACAAGGCATTTGTGCCCACACAACTTTCCCTTGCAGCAGATTGTTTTGACTTTGTCTAAATGCATTGATGTGCTGTCATGTGATTGGCTGATTAGAAATTTGCGTTAGCAAGCAGCTGGACGGGTGTACCTAATAAAGTGGCCGGTGAGAGTATGTATTCATATGCACTTTTTTGAGTCAGAAATCGCTTGCAGATTTTGAAAAATCGTCAAAGAAATGGCAAAAAACAGGTCAAACTAAAAAAAGAAAAAAAAGAAAAATAAATTTAAAGAAAATCATTTACTTTTTATTTTCAGTATTTGTTGTAAAAAAAACTCTTAAAGATAAAAAGAAATTCATATATTTATAATTGCAAATATGATAATATATAGTTAACTTGTAGTAATATTTTGAATGTTTTTGGTGTAGTTATGATTGTAAAGATACTGCGAAATTGCCAACATGTGTCCAGGCATATCTCCATGCATATATAGTAAGCGTCTCTATATGCATGCATACATCCTTTGATACATAAATTCATCCGTTCAGGTTCTGCAAATGCTCAGCTTCATACATATTGATGGGTATTAATGTTTGGCTGTTAGCATGATTTGCCTTGGCGTTAGATCTTTATCCTGTCCCCTGGATGGCTCCCAGAGAGCGCACGCTACGACTGCAAGCCTGCAACTTATTCCCTCCCGCCGTCCCTCAGAGTTCTGCTGCGAGAGGTTAAATGTGACGCCAGCAGGGAACGAGCTTTGCTAGATCACCCTCAGACGGCTGACATTTGGTGCTTGTCATAGATGATACTCCACATACATATTAATAATGTTGGCTTAGGTGAGCTGTTGCATTTCAATCACCCAATAAAGACCTTTTGCTATTTGTATGTGTTGCCCTGGCAACTGGAGGCCACCAGCCCTCCACATATGAGTTTCACTGGCAGCGTAAGTCGTAGTAAACAGCGTATAATGCTACACATGCCATGCATGAGCAAGTATGACTCCAAAGAGGAATTGCGACACGCACTCGTGAATACGTCTATGAATTCCACTCTGAAATCACACTATTCATTCCTTTCCTTGCATAGTAAGTGTCTCATCTCATAGACATTCTTGCCTATGTGCAGTCACACGTCAGCCGCCCCTGCTTTGCCACTCCTGGAAGGCATCTTTATCCGTTTTTAGTGATTAAGGATGGCTGTTTTTTGCTCAAGTACACACACACATACACTCTTACACCGGACGCATCTTAATCCAGGAGCCAGCTGACACGCTCATTAGTTTATTGCTGTCGGCTCAAGAAAAAAATATGAATGCTAGGAGCGGATGCAGGTGAGCATATGTTGAATATGAATGTAAATATTAACGTTTATGTCACCCCAGGAGTCTTTTGACTAACAGCTTTTCATATTCATCCGATTTAACTACCACATGCATTAGAATGCAATATGTGTGAGTGTGATTATTCCTCATCCTTAGCTTGTCTTAGTGCACATTACACAAGAATACAAATAAAAGGGGAATCATATTGTGCTTTAGACTCCTCTGGTTTCCTTTAATACAAAAGGTTGTGTGTGATACATGAAAATTCATTTACTTTAAAGACTATATACTGTCTGTCTGTCTGTCTGTCTGTCTGTCTGTCTGTCTGTCTGTCTACTTTCTTCAATCCATCCATCCATCCATCCATCCGTCTGTCTATATATCATTGTTTTTCTGTTCATTACTCTGTCTTTCTATCCATTCTATCATTTTTTATCATGCTGTCAATGTCTGTCTACCTTCAGATTCTTTAATCATCATCATTATGTTGTTATCTCTGTCTTATCCATCTCCTTATGCATTGTTTACTATATTATCTATGCTTGTTTTTATT